ATATATATATATATATATATATATAAATTGAACTTTTCCATGACTAGATTTTTTTCAGTATTTTTTTAGAAAAATGATTGGTGCACTTCTGGGTCGAGATACTTTTTAACACATATTCCGTTTAACAATTAAAATATAATGTAAATATAGTCAATTTAGCTAGTTCTTATATGTTAAATGTATGATAACATTTTTATATTTGTTTACCTTTAATTTTAGATTAGAAAATAATAATTTTTAATAAGTATATTATGCAATATATGTTGAATCTAATAGTATACCAATTAGTTTTTTTTAATTGACATCTTCAGCATGTATTTTAAGATAGGCAAAACCATATGTTGAGCCCTTGAACTAACCTCAGATTTACTATTGAGCCCCTAAACTTTAATTGATGCATATAAACCCCTAAACTTCACAATCTGAGCAATTTAACTACTATAAGGGTTAAATTGCTCAAATCATGAAGTCTAGGGGCTTATATGCATCAATTAAAGTTTAGGGGCCTCAATAGTGAATCTAGGGTTAGTTTAGGAGCTTAACATATGGTTTTGCTTTTAAGGTACAAGATTTTTTTTTTCTTGAATTATATAATAAAAAGTAACTATCTCATATATCTTAATTTATCTCACTCGCATGCCGTAGAACTTGAATTCAAAATCTTTTATTTTCACAAAATGAAAAGATTATTACTTAGTTATTTAAATTATTGATGAGATACAAGTTTTAAATCTTACTTTCAGGAGTTAGTACTTAAATATCTTCTTAACCATTGAACCAATATACCTTGAGATCCTAAGGGGTAACTAAATATAAAACGCAAGCAACCTTGTACGCTGCTAGGATGGAAAAAAAAAATTGTAAAAAGATGCCCAAAAGCATTTTTGTAAAACTGTGAACTAAAATACTGGAAATGCAATGCCAAAAGGAATAATTCAAGTCTAATGTAGCCCGCTTTTTTTTTTTTATTGTATATTGAGTACGTCTTTAAGTCCATTTTTACTCATTTTAAAATTAAATTTTCTTTAAACAACTTTAAGGATAAGCACACCCCAACATTAACTTAGTACATTCAAAAAACTTATTTTTCTTGAATCTTGACCTAAAAAATTAATTCCAAACCTAACTTATAAAACGATAAAATAGGCTTGTCCTAAATATTGGAGTAGGTTAAAGCCAATTGAATCAAACCTGCCCAATCCCCATCAAGGTATCGATCCTAATAAATGAAATTAATTAGGTCCTTCTCAATCCTCAATCTTTAGAGATGCGCAAAATTGTCCAGCATCTCCAAGGTACGGTATAGCATATAACTATATTCTATTTTCTTTTAGTGAGACCACACCCGGTGATTTTTCTCTTTTCAAGTGGCAAAAAAATAAAATTTCAATTGATAAAGGAGTGCAAAGGGTATTTTAACTCTATAATAAAGATTTGAGTCTCAAACAATGTAATAATTAATTATTATTTTCAAAAATTACCTAGGCAACTGAGGATACTAAATTTAAATAAATAGATGCACACAACAAGCATTGTCTTTATTATTCAAGGGCTTAGAAGTAGCTGTCATTATGCCATTACAACTTACAATCATATATATATTTATTGGTCTTTCATATATAATTTTACATGTTACATAACAAACATATTACAAACTAAGGAGGAAATTAAACTAGTGAAAGATGAATACGGTACATATATTCCACAGGCAAATTCAAATCTTATGTTATGTTAAAGGGCTGGTAACAATTCATAGCATCCATTCAGGGATGTATCCGCTTACATTCTGGAGATGTTGGCCCATGGTGGTCATTTCTTCTGAAACAACAGGGTTGTACCTGGAACAGAAAAATGCAAGTTAGAGTTTTAGAAGAAAAGAAAGGAAAGGAAGTATGGATATTAATTAGTAGTAAGAGAAGAAGTACCCAATTTGTAATGTGGAGTTGCCTCCTAGAGGCTGGAAAAACCCCTCCGATTGAGGTGGGGGACGACTGTATTGAACGTTCTGCCCTCCAGCCTCCCATGCTAGTCGAAGAGGAACTTGTGCCCAAGCTTCCTCCAACTGATGGATATTGGAATTTCACAGTAAGAGAATTATTCCATATCTCCAGTCAAATTTCAATATTTAGAGAGAGATTGTACCTTCTTTCTCAAGGCTTTATTAGCTTCAGTCAGCATCTGTTCCTGCAGTTTCAAGAAGGATGCATATATGCTGTAGAGGAAATTCCTGAGGATTAATAAGATTCATATAGATAGACAGATAAACTTACCTTGCTTTGAAGATCAGCAACCTGATCAAGAATGCATTGAGTCTGTAAAAAAAAATTAAACAGGAATAGAAACCAATGAAGTTACTTTCTTAATAATACCCAAAGAGCATGGTTTAAATTCTAGCCAAATTTAAGTTCAAGATACATAGGTTGGATTCCTTTACCCTTGTTGACCTTATCTGCTTCAAGGATGCTTCCAGCTGATGCTCAAGCTGCTCAAGCTCCTTCGTGGTGAGTGGAGCCAAGTCTTCACCAAGAAGGTTTCTGCAACATTTAACACATCAAATGCTGCTTGATAAGAGCAGTGTCTGCCGTGTCACAACTCACAAGAGTTTGATTAAGTGGATCCTTATTACCTCTGAGATTGCTGCAGGATTTCCACTCTTGCTTTAAGCCTCAAATATTCCTGGTAACTGCTCTGCTTGATGACACCAGGAAGTTAATATTATATTAGAACTAGACTCAGCTAAATTGGAAAAAAGAAAAAAAAAGAAAAGAAAAGAAAAAGAGGGGGACTCATGCTGAATCTTGAGGAGAGTGTTGGGAATTATCTATTGCCTCATGCATCTTCTTGAATGTTAAATTTCAGGAGAGAATTTTGAGGTGTACCTGTGTCTCATTGATTGGTTGGTTGGGGTCCAGAGCACCGTAACTGCACTTTTGGTACTTCTCAATTGTTTTCATCATGCTATAAGCAAAAAATAAAGTTAGAATGAAAATAATTTAAACAATATAAACAAACACATATAGACATGATGAAACTGGAAAGAAAGCTCAGCACTGCTTTGAGCCAGCTTTCAGTGTGGCTCAAGATATAACGCACGCTAATTATGAGGTCAGTTTTGAACATAGGAATTATATAACTTCACTAAACAGATGGGTAAAATCAGGTGGCACAGATGGGCTGGAGCCATACGTGAATTCTTGCAAAACCCCAAGGAGAGTAGTTGAAAGCTAAATGCCTACCCGGTATCTTATGACAAAAATATTCGAGGGGAACAACTCAAATTCGTTCAAAGATTCAAGCCCTGATAACCTCTCCTCCTATATTTCACCTTCATGATGAGATACCATTTTTGAACCAAAAAGAAATGTTTTTCGAGGTCATGAACGTCCACATATATTCTATTCTTACTCATTATTTTTCTTTGATATGGGATATTTACACATCTCCTAACTCTCCACCTCTCATCTGAACCTATACCCCAACACAATCTTCCCTTCTTTTGTTAGTTTAGAGGAGAAAGAAAAATCGTAAACTGATTCTCCTTGTCCATGTAATGACTAAACATGGAAGACAAGACCAAAAGTTGTAATTAATATATAAAACTAACAGTAAATGGCTATTGGGACAACAAGAAACAAAAATCAAAACGACAATATATACTATAAGAAATCAGAACAAATTAAGCACATCTAAATCTCTAACTAACAAGTCTTCTAATAGTAATCCTTTTTTAGTGAAAATAAAAGAATTTGAGTTTGAGTTTCATAGTATGCAAGTGGAGTGGATTAAGAGAAGATAGATGTTATCTCCCATCTTGAAACCCAAAATTAAAAAAAAAAAAAAAATTCAATTAAAATTTTTTAATTTCAAAAGGTAAAATAATTCACCTACAATGTTATATAATTAATCCTACAAGACAGTAAGTATGATTGGCAGTACCATATGAATATTGTAAAACTTCATTATGAGATAACACTTTGGTTGATCGAATCAACTTCACTCCATAAACATTATGCTATAACTGGTCAATTGGATATCTTAATTGGTTGATATTCAAATTTCTGAGGATCACAACAGAACGCCACCACTTCTGAAAGGAGAAATCAGAAACCAATTCGTAGAAAAAACAATGTATGGAACCCAAAAGAGACAGCACCTATTGAGGGATTGAGGGAAACCAATGTAAAACAGTTAGCTAGGGTTCAAGTAAACAAGCCTTCTGACACGGGGCTGGTCCATAGAATGCCTAGAGTTCTAACCAACCTAAGGTAAGTGGAGTAGCAAAATCAGATTAAAATAAAGGATATCCCATATCTTTTTCCTATTCAAAAATGAAATAATAAACCTTATAAAAATGATTAATATACATTTTGGTTTAACATGTTTCTGTGATGTTAAGTGACATTGTTGATTGCAAGATAATTCTTGAATAGCTACCCATTTATAGAAGATGGGTGATGTTAAGTGACATTGTACATGTTTAATTAAACGCACTAATAATTCAAACACAATTCTAAATATAGTAAAGGAAAAGCAATGTTAATTAATTCTTGATCAAGGGTACTTAGCTTGACTTAATTTGTACTTAACCATTAAAAAAAAGAGACTTAGATTGGGTTTGGGATTACTATGAAGTATTGTGGCAATAACTTTTTCAATATTCTACTTGAAAGAAAATTATATTATTGTTTGATAATTGTTTTGAATAGAAAGTTTTATTCATTATTATGCATCACTAAATTATACAAAACATTAATTAAAATTAATTTAATTATAATAAATTACTCCATCTGTTTCATTTTATTAATCATTTTAGATCTTTTCACATAAATTAAGAAATTTATTTAATAGCCTTTATTATAAGAATATTTTGTATTAAGTTTACTCATTACCTTCTGTTATTTTCTAAAAATGGAGCCTCTTTATCACTGCCAAAATTTATTAGGGGGTAATTTTGAAAAGTAAAAAATTAATAATGCTTAGAAATGTGAGAACTTCAAATAATGTGAAACAAAAACAACTTTTTAAAAAGACTAATAAAACGAATTAGAGAGAGTAACACTTTTATAAGGTACTATGTAATTTATACTTGTAAGTTTTTAATTGAAATAATGGTAAGGGAGATTCTCCAAATTTTTTGTTTTGGTGAAAAATTCTTCAACTTTTTTACCAAGCTTTTTATTCTCATTCCGCAATCTTTAAGTATTCTATTCTTCTAATTCAAGTTCACAATTCTTTATGATATCCTCTCCTCTTAACAAACAAAATCAGGGGAAGAGTAGTACCTCAAAAAAATAAAAATAAAAAATCAGGTGAAGAGACCCAAAACTTAGACCCAAAATTAATGCAATGTAATTAAGAGTCCTCTTCCTATGTTTTCCGCCAAAAAAAAAAATAATAATAATAATTAAGAGTCCTCGTTAGTAGAAACCCTTTCTTTCTTTTTGTGGAGAGTCAGCATTAAATTTAATGGAAATAGAAGAATCCACTTGAATATGAAATTAAATCTAGCTTTTTGGGTGAATTACATCTAGGTTTTTTTTTTCCTCCCTTTTTTCTCAAGTTGAAACCATTTTCCTAGGGTCTTAAATGAAGGGAAAAGGTTTTTGGAAGATCAAAGTCATAGTTTAATAGTTGAAAGAAAAGAAAAATGAAGAAAAATCTTAATAATGAAAGAGAAGAGATACTTAAATTAAGCCAAAGCAATTTCTCAAGTTTCTACAAAGTTTGCAGGCTTTAAAAGAAAAGAGCAGCCCTTCTCTCTTCTGAGATGGTTTCTTTACTGCACCACAAAGGGTGCCAGACTTGCACTGGAAAAACATCACATCTCTGGCACCAAAATCTTAACAGTAAACTGGTTTCAATTGTCCACTTAATTAATCCTCTTGAAAATTGTGAAAATATAATATCACTTCACAAAAAAAAAAAAAAAAAAAA